GTGGCTCCATTAACTTGCAGTTTTGAGGACAGGTTCCTTCTTGGAATTGACGTGTCCATAGAATTATTTTAGTATCATTCACCTGAAGGCCACTGTGGCTATGTCAAGAGCTATAGTAGTTTGGGTTTTGGCAGAACTAATGCTTCAATTGTTCTTTAAGATAACTGCAAGTGGATTTACCAGTTTTGCCTGTGATATGGCCATGTGTTGAATGTGGGACATCCTGGGCCCAGATGCTGTTTTATCATATCAAAGAATGTTTGTTTCCCTGCTTGCAGTGACTAGAAGACATGGATCCATTTTGTCTAAAAATTGTACCATTTCTCTCATCTTTTGGTTAACAGTTATTGAATGATGACTATAACACACATGCACCTGTGCTAGGCATTTTATACATTCTTATTTAGTCCTCATAATGGCATTATGACCTAGGTAAGTGCTATTACTATCCCCATTTGCAAATGGGTGAATTTTCCTGTATACCTAAGAAGTGCTAGAATCAAGATTCTAATTTAGATTAGAATTTGAGTCTAGGCCAGAGTTTTTTTTTTTTTTTAAATTTTAATTTTTTAGTTGTAGGTGGATACACAATATCTTTATTTCATTTCTATGTGGTGCTGAGGATAGAACCCAGTGCCTCACACATGCTAGGCGAGCATTCTACCACTGAGCCACCACCCAGTCCTAGGCCAGAGTTCTTGATGACTCCTTTCTGCTAATGGTAACTCACCAATGGCTGTGATATAATTTTAAGAAAGAAGGGGAAGGCTGACTACTCCTGTTTGGTTTTTGTGTATATCTTACCTTCCTACACTACCCTCCCCCACTTTGTTTGTAAAAAAACTCATTTGATCCTCTTAACAACCTTTCTTGTGAAACAGGTGGAGGCTGGGGCCCAGAGGAGTGATTTGCTGCTTGTCTCTCAGCTATGAAGCTGTGGAACTGAGTCAGCCCAGGTCTTGAGATGGGGGTCTTGCCACTTTCATTGCCATCCTGTTAGCAGGCCTTTCTCTACTAAGTGTGGAAAATACAGGAAGTTGTCCAAGGCAGGAATCCTTGGCAGTATGTTTTTGGGAGAACAGTTTCCACACCTTGGCATTTCTCCTCTATGACAGGCTTACAGGTTGTTATAAATAGAGTTGATTTAAGTTTTTTTCTCAGAACTTTGTTGCTAGAAAGTAAATGAATTTTGGACTGGGCTTGTAACCAGTTTCTTACATACTTAACAAAAACAACAAATGTTTAAAATTCTGTGTAGAGGTCCAGATCAACAGATTTTTACTAACTTGTTCCTTGCATTTTAAAAATAAAATTTTATGTTCTGGTTTTACCAGAATTATCTAATTTTTGACCCATCATCTTTTTCTTCTCCTTCCCTTTCACTGGAGATTGAACCCATGGGCTTTCTACCTCCCAGCTACATCCCTAGCCAGCTATTTATTTATTTATTTATTTATTTAGAGATAGGGTCTTGCTAAGTTGCTGAGGCTGGCCTCAAACTTGTATCGATTCTCCTTTTTAAACTTCCATTAAGATCAGCCTGGAGTAAACAAAAGAAAGAGCGTTTATGGGGCTGACTCTACGTAGTTCTGACTCTGGTGAGGGCTCAAACTCTTGCTAATCAGAAGCATCCATTCCTTTTAAAACTTTGGGCCACATAATTGCAAATTCACGTGTACATGGGCTATATACTTCCTTTTTTGATAATGGCAGCAAAATGTGTTGTGTATTAGATCTTCAGAATCAAATATTTTCAAATAATAATAAAAAGATTCCAAAAAAATTTTTGCTCAATTAGGGATACTGGTACATCGCCTTCTGTGTTTTGGCCAGGTATGACTTGGAATAGATTTGATTGCATTTTAAGAACTGTGTGGTATAGAAACTTTTCAGTCTAGTTTTATATTATTGACACTTTTCTATAAGTAAATATATTTAGATTCAGCTGATCCAAATATTCCTCAGAATTTGGTTACTTAAAAATTCTGAATTGTTTTGGGTTAGAAACTCTTCTGTGGCCAAGGTTTAATTTAATTTAGTTCATTCTTCATGAACTAAAGAGCCTATACAACCTGAGGTGTTTCCTCTGCAAGTTATCTGGAAACTGAATGTGAAATTCATACTTATCAAAATTAATGATATTAGCTCTATTTCTGCATTTTTTTTCTTTCATATTTCCGAATAGTTCAGCAGTGAGATCAGCGTTACAATTATCTTGGCCCCCAGTAAGTCCTCCAGTGCTCTTGTACAGGTGTGCTAAGGTCTTGGTTTTTGAATAAAAGTGGTTTAAGTCCATAAGGGACCTTGGAGAAAAGCCATTTGAGCTTTTACTTAGCAGAGAGCAGAGAGTTCCAAGTGGGTTGCTTGCTCAAGTCACAGGGGTAGTGAGGTTGAACCTGGTGAGTGTGATTCCTCTCTGGAGTTCTTTCTCACATGGCGATCTGCTTTCCTGGTTGTTCCTTCACCCAAGCAAAGGCATCACTGTTTATTTTCATTTTCCAAAGAGAATTAGAATACTGAAAATGTCCAGATTGTATTTTCTCTCTTGAAGACTCACATTTGGTTTCTGCCATCAGGAATCAGTTATACCCTTTGTTAGTGATTAAACACACATGAGTTTGCTTTTTGTAAAAGAATATGTTGACTTGTTACTGAATAGACCATTTTGTGGCTACAATATTAGGGTGAATTAGTGAGAGTGCAAAACTCTTGCTGTCCCATTTTACAAAACTGATAGAAAGCTGGCGAGTTATTAACTTGTGAAACTTTCCTAGTGCTGCTTTATAGCAGCACAAGTGTTGAAAAATTCCCAGGTAGTTTTTGCTTCTCATTATTCCTAGGGTTTGTTTTTGGCATTGGTTGAGGCTATAAACACATAATTTTTTTGGGGGGGGAAAGACTGTTATCTTTGTGTTATTAAGTTTGCTGTAACAGTCAAGTTTCTAAATTATGCCTATTCTGTAGTGGGCAGAAGATTGAATTTTTAGTTGAAAATACAGAGAGTGGTGAGGCCCTTTTGATGGTCAATTTTATAAAACTCCATATCTTCCAGTAGACCTTAATGTCAGTGTGGGAGGTGCCATTATTTTTATTATCATGTAAGAGAAAATACTTCCAGAAGCTTTTAACAAATCACGTTAAATCTTGTAACCATTAAAGCCCATCCCTGTGATCTTTGAAAAATTGAAATGTTTGGGATTCAATTTCCTCATGAAATTGGGGATAACACTCTTTTAACTCATGGGGATGCTTGAAGGAATATATGAGACAATCTTGGTCTTTAATAGGGACCAATTAACAATGAACAGTTAATTTTCTTCCCATTCTAAGTTCATTATTATTCCTTTTTACTTGGTAGTGTAAAGGCTTTATTTTATACACTGTATCTTTCATGTCTATTACCTTTACTTTTGTATAGAGATTATATTTTGCAAAAAATGAAAAATAAAATGAAAAGAAAAAAAGAAGAGATTATATTGTACAACTTGAGTCTTAATATTCTTTAAAAATAATTGTATATATCTTTGGAGTTCATTTAAAAATGTTACTATAAGAACATTTTGTTTCTTATTTGAGTGATTTCCCTTGTAGAAAGTTGTAAGAGGTAATACTTGTTGGCTTTTCCTGATTTTTTTTTTTTTAAATTTCCAATAGCAGGGATTGAACCCAGCTCATGCTAAGCAAGTGCTCTACCACTGAGCTACACATCTGGTCCTCTTTATTTTGAGACAGAGTCTTGCTAAGTTGGCCAGGCTGGCCTAAAACTTGAGATTGTCCTGCCTCAGCCTTCTGAGTAGCTGAGATTACAGACATGCACCAACATGCCTGGCTTTTTTTTTTTTTTTCATTTTTGGGTCTGGCTCTCAAAGTGATTACTGGCTAATCAATTTTTTTAAACCTTGATTACAATTTTTTTTGGGGGGTACAGAGGATTGAACTCAGGTGCACTCGATCACTGAGCCACATTTTGTATTTTACTTAGAGACAGGGTCTCACTGAGTTGCTTAGTGCCTCACTTTTGGTGAGGCTGGCTTTGAACTGGTGATCCTCCTGCCTCAGCCTCCCAAGCCCCTGGGATCACAGGCATGTGCCACTGCCCCCAGTCCTTGATTACAATTTTTATTAGTCATTTTTTAAGGCTGAAAGCGTTAAGATATGCTTTCTCCGCAAACAATAAATTAGAAGTAAACCTGATTATTAGTATTACTTTTATATTTTTATCAATAAAATCACTTTTGTGTAAGAAAAAACAAAATAAGAAGTCATGCTGAAGACATTGGCATATTAAAAACATTTTATTACTTTCTGGTCACTGATGAACGTGAAGCTCCTTGAAGCCAAGACTGGTATTTTGTAAAGTTCTTTATGGTATGTGACATTTCTCACCTTGCTCTGTGAGTCCATGTTTGGAAAGACCTTTCTTCAGATTTGCTTAGTTCATTGGCTTATATACTTCTTTGGAGGGTTTTTTTTTTTTTTTTTTAAATACTAGGGATTGACCACAGAGGTGTTTTGCCACTAAGCCGCATCTCCAGCCCTTTTTGTTTTTTATTTATTATATTTTATTTTATTTTTTTGTGGTGTTGGGGATTGAATCCAGGGCCTTGTGTATGCAAGGCAAGCATTCTACCAACGGAGCTATATCCCCAGCCCCTGTTTTTTATTTTGAGACAGAGTCTCACTGAGTTGTTTAGGGCCTCACTAAGTTGCTGAGACTGGCCTCAAACCTGTTATCCTCCTGCCTCAACCTCCTGAGTCACTGGGCTTACACATGTACAGCACCATGCTTAAATTTTGATGCCTTTGGTTTCATTTGTGTAAAGGGGATGATTCTGTAGTTACAATTTCCCTTCTATAATTATGGTGTACTGCTAATAATTACATATAGTGGCTGATAAAACATTGTAGCTAGAAGCAAACTGAAAGAAGTACTCTGAAAGAAATATTTCAAAACCCATTTAAGCATCTAATTTATTTCATTTTCTTTCTTTTTTCAATAGCATGCTCCACACTATTCAGAACGGTGCTTACTAGTGTCCCGTTGTCTCAGTTCAGTGGGATATGATCCTAATGAAAAAGTAAGTATTTAAAAAATAATGTTAACAGCTAAGTTTTTCTATGTTCAGTGGGGCAGATTAAACTTTATTAATACTGTACAATTATTTATTGCTTTATCATCATAAGTTTTACAGATTCTCAATCTGTGTTCTTCTTTTCATTGTGGGCCACAGCCTGAGTCCTTTAATTTTGTCTTTGAATCTATACCAAAACTTGAATACATTGGTAATATATTTCCTTTGTTTTTAGGAGAATAAGTAGATATCATTCTTTGTTAAAGACTGGGCACTTGCAAGATTTTGTTCAAATTATTGAAGTTTTTGTTTCAATTATTAATATTTATGACTCCTTTGGATTGAGGGCAATTAGGCATATTGAAAATTTTGGGACAGGGTAATTCCAACTAAAATCTTGGTATATGACAATGTTTGAGCCTTGTAATAGGAGAGAGAAAGAGATTAGAAGTGGTGATGGGAAATAAAACATGTTTTAGTTGTGATGTAGTCTTCAAAGAGGGCAGAAAATTTTGGTCAAGAAGAGATTTTTCAAGGTAAATGTCATTGAAGTGTAACTGCTGTGAATGATTAATTAAGAGTACCATATTACTGAACTGCACAGAACTACTTTGCAGATTCTTTTGAATCTGAAGATTTGAAAGAAGAGGAGTCTACATTTTTGCCATTCAATAGAAATATAATGCAGGGGTGGGGTGGAGTGTGGTGTGTAGCTCAGTGGTAGATTGTTTGCCTTGGGTTGTATGCACAAGGTCCCGGGTTCAATCCCCAACGCCACAAAACTGACAAAAAAGAAATAGAATTTGAGGTACAATGGCAGGAAAAATATAAATTCAAATTTTCTATTTGCTATATTATGAAAATAAATAGGTAAAATTAATTTTAATATATTTATTTAACACCTAAAATGTTATCTCCACATATAACCAATATAAAAAGAATTAATGAACTGGGTATGCATGCCTGTGATCCCAGCAACTTGATCCCAGGCTGAGGCAGGAGGATGGCAAGTTTGAGGCCAGACTTGGCAACTTAGCAAGACCCTGTCTCAAAAAATAAAAAGGGCTGGAGATGTAGCTCAGTGTTAAAGAATCCCTAGATTCAATCCCAATTAACGCTCCCCCCCCCCAATAAACTAAAAAAACACTTTAGATTTTGTTTTTGAATGAAATCTTCTAAATCTAGTGAATCTTTTTGTACTTTTCTGGAACATCTCAGTTTGGCAACATTTAAAGATCTCTAGTTCATGTGGACAGTACAGGTTTTCATAGATTAGCTATGAGTGAAATTTTGCTGTTATGAAATCTATAGTTTGATTTAAAAACTTTACCACAGACAATTTGCTTTGGAGTTCATGTGTACATATGTTTGTGCACACAGTGGACCACCTCCTCCAGCTACTCCCTGTCTGCCTATAGTTTTCCCATTTGTAAAATGGGGATATTATCAAAACTGACTTCATAGACTTTTTTTTTTTATCTTCTAGATTAATGAATTACTTTTTTTCATACAATATAAAGAGAATAAATAACCATTATCTGATAAGTGAAATAATTCACAGAAGAGTTTGCCACAGTGGCTGCTTTATAGAAAGCACACGGCCTAAATGTTGCTGCTTAATATTACCCTTAACAATTCAGTTTTGCACATTTGAATTCTGAGGCTCCAAACCCCTTGATAGGAAGCGAAAACTGGTGCATTCTCAAGCCTCTCTTTCCCAGAGCTGATGGGCTTGCCCATTGCGCTGTGGCCTTTCTCAGAAGTATTCAGCAAGTGACTCGGGGTCGGGAGTTCTGCTGTCATTCCTTCCCCAAGTACCCAATGGAGCAGGCCAGCTCAGTCCTTCTCCAGGTTTCTGGATGAAGTGCCAGCTGTGCATTTAGACCCCAGCAATGAGGATCTAAGTACAGGGAAGGAAGAAAAAGAAGTGCGGGTGGGTACAGAGACACTGCATGAAAAAGATCTCAAGAAATCTCAGGAGACTTTGCACCACGGACTGCATCATTTGTACAGTGAAGAGCAGCTGCTGTGGGTTCCCCTGTATCTCTTCCTATACCCAGAAGCCCCTCTGTCTTTAGGGATTTAAACTTCTGGTTTATATTTGTGGTTTTCATTTTCTTTTTCCTCAGAATGTCTTTGGGGTGTCTTCATGTAACTCCACATGTAGAATGAAGCCCTGGCTTTTAAGTGGAATTTTTGTCCATCATCTGCCTTTTTGTCCCCCAGGTTTATCTGGACAGTTCCCCATACATGTTGTGTTTTGAGCTGTAGAAAAATGCCTTGTAGTTATTTGTTGTCGTCCTCTTCCTTCGGTGTCACTTTCTTCACACATCCTGCCCATGCTCTCCCTTCTCTGTACCCAGCATCCTGGGCACAGCTTCAGTGTAGCACTTAACATGATTTGTTGTGATTGTGTCATATTGTCCACTGAAGTCATCAAGCATAGTTGATAGGGGGAGTTTTAAAGTTGATTTAACTTGATCGGCATGTATGTCCTTGGATATGCGTGGTCTATCTGGAAGAATATACAGGAGACTAGTAAGAGCAGGAAACTGGAGTGCTTTTAAAATTCTGAACCATATGTTTCTTGATTTATTTAAAAGAAAATTTTTATGTAGAGAAGATTAATATGTATTTGAGTTTGTACACTAATTGGTAATATATTAATAGCCTTGAGTAGAGATGATGTGTCAGGTGCAAACACATATTTTTGTTACTGGGAATTGAACTCAGCGGCACTTTGCTACTTACCCAGTTCTTTTTATTTTTTATTTTGAGACAGGGTCTTGCTAAGTTACTTGCTAAGTCTCACAGGCTGGCCTTGAACTGTGATCTTTCTGTTTGAGCCTCCTGAGTTGCTGGGATTACAAATGTGTACCTCCATGCCCAGCCAAATATTTGCTTTGATACAATTTTTCCTGATTAGTCAGGGGCATACTCCTAGATTCCTAACAGTCTGGCATGTGGTTCCGTGCAGTAGAATAACAATACCTGTAGCTAATACTTGTTGAGTATATATTATGTGCTAGGCACTGTCCTGGGTACTTTCTGGGTGTTAATTTGTATAATTCTCATGACCTCTTATGGCAGATACTCTTATCCTCATTGGTATATCAAATGAGGGACAAGAAGTAGATAACTTGCCCATGGAAGAACATTCAAGAAGAACACGTGGGAGTTCTGGGGTTTTTCAGCCTGGATAATTTGGCTCTGACTGACTCCTAACCACTAGTTCTGCCTTCTGAACAGAAAGCAGAATGGGATTCTTCCTTAATCCTTGTAATTGGTCATACATATTTGCTTTAATGCCTCAGAATTCAAATGTGCTTAACGTGAAATTTACAGGAATGCTGTCTGCAGTGCTCTTATCAGATGTAGTTGTTTAATGCTTCATAAAATTTCACAGTTTTAAATGCGGTTCGAGGAAGTGTAAGCATTGTTTTCTAGGACTGTGCCTCCTGTTTAACAGGGATTTACTGTGACCGTTTGGATAGGAAGTTTTACAGAAGTCTCAGGCCTGAGGTGAAAGCAGGTTATTTTAAGGGTCTCTATGGTTCCGGGTTCTGTCACATCGAGAGCTTGCTAGTTTACAACAGCAGCTAGTCTCAGGTTGGTGAAATGAACCATGTATGAGGTGAAGGTCAGACCAAGAGTTTGAAAGCCTTTTCCATTCTGAGATTCCAGACTTTCCCTGTGGGTTAACATGGTGCTTTAAGTTATAGAAGAGTAATATTTTAGAAGATCACGTAGAACTTTAACTCTTCTTTTAGAAATATAAAACATTTTTATGGTTCTCTCTACTAAACTTAAAACATTTCACTGACCCATGAATAATTGTGTACATATGTGCATTGCATCCATATTACTCCTAATTGTGTGTTTTCTTCCCTTCTTCCTTCCTTCCTTCCGTTTTTTTTCTCTATGTTAAGGATTGGGGATGGAATCCAGGCCTTGCTCATGGTAGGCAAGTGCTCTACCATTGAGCTATATTCCTTGCCAATTGTGTGTTTTCTAAAAAAGAGATTAGTCAGCACAATTTTAGAGTTGGAAGAAAGCCTTATGGGATACTTATTCATTAGTGTACTATCAGTTTATGTATATGGAAGTTAAGAAATTGCTTAAGCCAAGGTCATCAGTAGCAAAGCTGGGCTTGAGACTTAGGTCTCCAGATACACACCAGAAGCATTTTTCTTATCATTTGATTTTAGCTGCTTCAAAATGTGATGATTATTCAGACTTAACACTGAATTCAAATGGTATGACTTAGTTGGTCTGGACATCTTTGGATATAAGCACAAAACAACTCAGGATGCTTAGGACTTCCCAGACTTTATAAAATAAAATTTAAAATAAAAATTTTAAGCATTTTTGAGTTAAAAGTTTTTTAGTTTTTTAAAGTATCATTTGAAGATTTGCTTTTGTTAAGAAAGTTTATTTCCACTTAAAAATAAAGTAACCTAGTCAAGTCATGCTATAACAAAGTAATTAAGGTCAGATGATTTTAGTTATTTCTTGGTTTTAAGTGCACATATTATCCTAGAAAGTCAATGTTTCCTAGAATAATGTCCATTGTTGATTATGGAAAAAACTTGATGTTTTCTGCTCTCAAACAATTTTACCTTTTTTTCCTTCTTTTTCAGACTTTTGATAAAATACTTATTGCTAATAGAGGAGAAATTGCATGTAGGGTGAGTAGAATTTGAATTCTCTTTTCCATTTTACTCAATGAAATTTATTATTGTTAAATCCCTTTAAATATGAATTACTATAAATTAGATAACATTCATGTATTTTAAATAGGTTATTAAAACTTGTAAGAAGATGGGCATTAAGACGGTTGCCATCCACAGTGATGTTGATGCTAGTTCTGTAAGTATATTTTAGTTTAAATCTGAACTTAATTTTGAGTTACATACAACAAAAATGAAAGCTATTCTATTTTTTCTTGGCCTCAAAAATGCATATTTTAAAACTTAATTGTTCACTGTTATATTAAGTAAAATGGAAGTGTCATAATGTCATCTCTATGTGTCCTAATTCTTTGTTTTTAAAGCTTAAAAACCAAGAATAGACTAAAAAATTGCAAAGCTATTGCTGGTCAGCAAGTAGATTTAAGCAAAGCATGAGAAAGTTAGATGGAAGATTAATGAACTGTTTACACAATGCTCCCTTATGAAAGCACGTTTCCCCAGCATAACTCCAGTGTCACTAAGGGAATGCTGTGGTTGTTTAACCTTTCCTAAATGGCTGATGTGTTCAGCTGAAAGTTGATAAATGAGAGATAGGCTGATGCTAATTGGACATGAACAAAAGAAGGTATAGCATAAAGCAATGAATGATATATAATTTTATCTGGCATTTTTAACACAGCAGGCATTTTTTAGCTGTAATGAACTATGAATGAATAGAAAAAAAATCCCATGGGAAAAGAATGTAAATTATTGGAACTTTATGGAATGAAATATAAGTAGTTGTACTTTAATGTGAGTTGCTATTTTTCAAAAGTGTGCTTTTGATAACCAGACCTTTTGTTAATGTTAGCTTTTATAATATAGTAATTTAATACAGTTTTCAAGTTTTGTGATCTTTAAATTTTTGTTTTATCCAGAATTATGTTGTTGATTTTTGTCTTATTGTAATTCTTCTCCTTTTTAAGAAATAAAATGGAAATAACTACAAACTAATTTACCGAAAATAAATGCTAAGTATATAATTTATTTGGCACCTGCATTTAAAATATCTATCTTTTAATGAAAAGTAATGGAAATTTTGCATATGTATTGTTTGATATTCTTTTTTTTTTAACATTTGATTGTGGCTTCTTTGCAAAAAATCGTTTAAACTATGATGGCTTTAATGGTAATTTACGTTCCTCAGATATTCATCAAATAATGAGAAAACTGTTACTTTTATTAATCTGTTTCTTGATTGGTAAATTAAGGTATTTATTAACAGAAAATTCCTATAGGGAAAAATTTTGTTAAAGTCAACATCAAGCTAGTAATAGATTTAAAATTCATATTTCTCTTCTTATGTTTATTATCAGTGTATTAGCTTATGGGATATTTTCATCTATGGATAAATTGAGAGAAAAAAATGTTTGAATTGTAGGCACTATTTTATTTCAAGACTAACAGGGACCTTTTGTTTATTACTTTTCCATATTAAAATGTAGTTAATTCTCTATGCTATGTTCTCTTGGAAGTGACTATTATATGGATAGTTAAAAATCATTGACATTTTTTTTTTTCTTTCACACTTACATTTCAGTGTTGGTGCTGTAGAATAATCTGTAATCTGTAGCATCTTCTGCAAAGTGTTGTCCCAAATAGCATTGCCAACTTTCCCATTCTTACATTTCTAGCTTTAGACAAATTCTTACATTCTGATTTAGACAAATTATTTTTCAGATTCTGTAAAAGCTAGTTTCAAAAGAGTTACTGTAAGTTTTTTATCTTTCTTATGCATGCCTTTCCCAAAGCAGATGTGGGAATTTTCTATTTTAAAGAAATTTGAGGCTGAAACTAATAGTAGATACATCAAGAATTATAATATATGATTTAGAATATGATTTCCCAGGCTCCATAGTAGAAGTACTGCATTCTCCGTCAAAACTCAACAGTATGGTCAAATCAGAGAAAGGCATTTGGTTTCTGCTTCAGTGGCAAGAAGGCAGAAAAGGTGAATTTCTTTAATAATATTTTTCCTTCTTCAACACTTGATCACGGAGGTTTCCATCATATCTAATCAGCTTTACAAGATCAGTAATATGAACAAGCCATGCTGTTCAAATGTTATCGTTAGGATGTTTGTCATTAAGAAGTGGGAATTTATGGAATCAACCTAGATGCCCTTCAATAGACGAATGGATAAAAAAAATGTGGCATTTATACACAATGGAGTATTACTCTGCATTAAAAAATGACAAAATCATAGAATTTGCAGGGAAATAGATGGCATTAGAGCAGATTATGCTAAGTGAAGCTAGCCAATCCCTAAAAAACAAATGCCAGATGTCTTCTTTGATATAAGGAGAGTAACTAAGAACAGAGTAGGGACGAAGAGCAGGAGAAGAAGATTAACATTAAACAGGGATGAGAGGTGGGAGGGAAAGGGAGAGAGAAGGGAAATTGCATGGAAATGGAAGGAGACCCGCAGGGTTATACAAAAGTACATACAAGAGGAAGTGAGGGGAAAGGGAAAAATAATACAAGAGGGAGAAATGAATGACAGTAGAGGGGGTAGAGAGAGAAGAGGGGAGGGGAGGGGAGGGGAGGGGGGATAGTAGAGGATAGGAAAGGCAGCAGAACACAACAGACACTAGTATGGCAATATGTAAATCAATGGATGTGTAACTGATGTGATTCTGCAATCTGTATACGGGGTAAAAATGGGAGTTCATAACCCACTTGAATCAAAGTGTGAAATATGATATATCAAGAACTATGTAATGTTTTGAAGAACCAACAATAAAAAAAATAAATGTAACTTGGAGTTAAAAAGTTACATACTTTATATGTTGACTTCATAAATTGAAATGTAATTATTTATTGTAGTAGGGAAATACTACAAAACTTGACTGTGAAAGTTATTAATTTTTTGTTAAAGAAACTAATTTTTAGTTAACCAGGGAAAAATGTTAAGCTACTACTCAAGTAATACATCATACAAACAGGTAAAGCCAGTTGCAGAAATTGATGTTTAATGGAAAAGTCATCTTGAAAATGATTGTGTAGTTCTTCTGTCAGACCCTCCCTTCAGTGGATTCTTCAAAATTGTCTTTAGGATTCTTGGCCCTTTGTTCTTCCATATGATTTTAGAATGAGCTCCCAGAGTTATCCCATCCCAACTGAATTTTTAGTGTCTTTTTTTTTAATTTATTTTTTAAATTTTAATTTGTTATACATGACAGCAGAATGCATTACAATTCATATTACATACATAGAGCACAATTTTTCATATCTAGTTGTATACAAAGTAAAGTCACAGCATTTGTGTCTTTATACATGTACTTTGGGTAGTGATATCCATCTCATTCCACTGTCTTTCCTACTCCCATGCCCCATTCCTTCTCCTCCCCTCCCCTCCGCCCTATCTGGAGTTCATGTAATCCTCCCTTGCCCCCCTCCCCAACCCCATTATGAATCAGTATCCTTAAATCAGAGAAAATATTTGGAATTCCGAATTTTTAGTTTCTATGAACAGAATTTCTATAAATGTACAAATCTTTTTGTGAAAATAGACTTTTATTTTTCTTGGTTAAATACTAGGAGAGGGGGCTGGGACTTGTAACTCAGTGGTAGAGCACTTGCCTAGCATCTATGAGGCCCTGGGTTTGAGTCCCAGCCCTGCAAACAAAAACAAAACTAAAACACCTAGGAAGGAATTTCTGGGTCATTCAGTAGATGAGGGGTTGGCAGCTTTTTTTTTTTTTTTTTTCCTTTCTTTCTTTTGTTTGGATGGTAAATATATTTGTTTGGAGAATAAATATATTTTAGACTTTGAGGGTGTCCATTGCTGCTGCTGCTGCTGCTGCTGCTGCTTCTCCTCCTCCTTCTCCCCTGACCCTCCATTTTTTTGTGATATCTTTGGTATCAGAATGATCCTGGCCTCATGAGTTGGAAAGTTTTCTCATCTATTTTTTTGGCAAGAGTTTGTGAAGAATTGGTATTAATTCCTCTTTAAATGTTTACCAGTGAAGCCATCTAGGATGTATATTTCCAAGATGTAGTTTTTTCTTAAATACTAATTCTTTTGTTATAGATTTATTCATATTTTCTTTAGAGAGTAATTGTAGTTTGGTTCTTTCTAGGAATTCATCATTTCCATCTAATTTATCTAGTTTATTGGTATAAAGTTGTTTATAGTATTTCCTTATTATTTTTATTTCTATAAAGTTGTAGTATTGTCTCCCTTTTCCTTCCTGGTTTTAGACATGTGAGTCTTCTTCCTTTTTTTTTTCCCCTTGGTCATTATCTTTGTCTGTTCAGGTTGTTATAACAGAACATCACAGACTGGGTGGCCTATACCCAGTAGAAATTTATTTCTTACAGTTCTGGAGGCTGGGAAGTCAAGATCAGGCAACAGCAGATTTGGTTTCCAGTGAGGGCCCCCTTCCTGGAACACAGATGAAGCTATCTAGCTGTATTTTCCCATGGTGGAAGGGCCAAGATCTTTCTGGCATCTTCTGTGAGATCATCAATCTCACTCATGAGTTCTCCACTACTATTTAACAGTATTCTTAGACGTAATAGCACTTAGTCAAGAGCTATAAAATGGTGGACAGCAGGGCAAAATTAAGAAGGTATTACTGAGTTCCGACTTGTACAGTTAACTGAATGACTCACTAGAAACAGAAAAATCTTATGTGAACTGGTTAAAGAATAATAAAGAAGCTGGACGAAGCTGGACATGGTGGTGCATGATGTGGTGGTGCATGAATAGCTGAATCACAGCTATTCAGGTGGCTGAGGCAAGAGGATCGCAAGTTTGCAGCCAGCCATCAGTATGGACAATTTAGCAAGAATCTGTCTCAAAATTAAGTAAAGGAAGGGCTGGGGATGTGGCTCAGTGGCAGAGCACTGGTTTAGCATGCACGAAGCCCTGGATTTAATCCCCAAAAGAAGGAAGAAAGAAATCTCTATCTTTAACTCATATATGAAAAAAATGTATATAATTTAAAACTAAAAAAATATCTAAATGAGATAAGAAATAGAACTTTAAAAAATAAAACTGGCTGGCCATAGTGTCATATGCCTGTAATCCCAATGATTTGAAAGGCAGATGCAGGAGGATTGTGAGTTCAAAGCTAGCCTCAACAACTCAGCAAGGCCCACAGCAACTTAGTGAAACCCTGTCTCAAAAAATGA